TGTGCCTCAGTGTCCCTTCCCTCCATAGACAATCCTGCAGGTCAGCGTGGTTCCCGAACGCAGCCCCACTCTCACTCCCCTTTTGGATGTGGCCTCTACTCTACATGTGGTTGTGGAGACTCTTTGGGTCATTTTCTGGATTATGTACACCGCTGTGGTGTCATGTGGTTGAATCCCTGGGACACGGTGAGCCTAGGATCGTCCTGTCTGCCATGTTCTACATCGTACCTTTTGTAACGTGAGTTTATGGAGAACAGGCTGGCCGGCAGAAGAGTCGCGGTTTACCACAAGGGTCCTGGCCTGATAGTCATTTTCAGACTTCGTCCCTGATCTTGGGCTGACTTAACAACTTCTCTCTCCCTCCCCTTAGCTCTAGGATGCTGCCATCGCATCTTGGGATGGTTGTAGAAATGAATGAACTCGTGCAAATAGCCCACTTAGCCAAGTGCCTCACCGTGAGTTGGCCCTCAGGAAATGTTAGCTCCAGGGGTTAATTCTATTAGCTGTTCCCTAGCAAACTACAGAGAGGGCCTTGTGATCGACCCAGTGGATACCCAGAGGGTCCACTCAACAAAGGAATGAGGGATGGTTTCCATTATTCGTAATGATCCCAGTTGCATTTGATGAGCTGTTGTTTGAGATGAGGAAGGAGTTATCTGGGACAAAAGGGTCAATCAGCATCAGTTTTGGGTTGCACACAATCTGGTGCTGGAAGTCCACTGTCTTTGACTTCATCTAAATCACGCCAAGCTGCCTCTCTGAAAGCCATTTCACCAGGCCAGGAAAGACTCTAATTTCCACTAATAACATGCTAAAATATCCAAACTCGATTGGACTACCCATGTGTTTTCTCAGCTTGCCCCACAGTAAATTCCCAGTTACACCCCAGAGAGGACTGGGTGGGCGATGCGTGCATGTACATGTGTCCCTCCAGGTATCCACATGTGTGCATTTGCCTGCACACCCACGTCTGCGTCTGAGCTTAGGGAGGCAGAGAGTACGCTGAGGACACCTCACTCTGCTGCACTCAGAATGTTAGGCTTCAGCAGGACGTGTCATGTCTTCAGCTCTGTGAGCGGGAACGTTTATGCCATTGATCATTCATTGGTATCTCCTTATCGTCTGGAAGAGGGGTTCTCCACACCGGGCACATACTAGAATTCGCTGGGGACGCTTGAAAACAGCCCTGCTGTCCACACTTCACTCCAGATCGGAAGGTGCCCGAGACACTGGTCTTCTTCAGCGCTCCCCAGGGCTTCTAGTCGGCAGCCAGTTTTGAGAGTGGCTGACCCAGGGTCATGCTGATCACCAGAGGTGATCATTCAAAACCCAGTGTTTAAGGGTTGCATTAATCTGAAACCGGAATCTCTTTCCTACGTTGGTCAGCGTTTACCGTTCTAAAGAATAAAGAAGTTCACTTTCCTTTTTTTCCTCCCTGAAATCCACTTCTAGACCATAGATATGCACCCAGATTACTGTTAGTCTGTAGAATGACTTTTCAAATCTATAGATTTTAATTAAACTTAAATGTAGTTTCATGAACACGACAGATTTTGGGGGGACAGACTTGTCAGACACGTAGCCCTTTCACAATACAGTTCATGGACTGAAACTCAAGACAGTATACAATGCATATTGAGTTGATCATTTCCATAACATTATAGTTAAAATCAGCATACGGCAAATGGCATTCGGTCTTAGTGAAATGTGCAAAAATATACAATACTTCCTTAAAATTGATTTAAGTCATTGCGTCTTTTGAGATGTTCTGCTTCGCACACAGTGGCCGGTACACACATCATAGGATCACGTAGAATTCTACACACACATATGTGCAGAGACAGCCAGGGAGATTCGGGTCGGCACCGTGGCCGGGACTGACGCCATGTTCCGGGGTGTGCTGTCGGGCTGTGGACGGTGGGTGGAACTGGATGAAGGTCCAGGGTGATCGTGTCTCTCTGTTAAGTCTTACAATTGCATGCAAATCTACAGTTTACTCAAAACAAAAAGTAAAAGCTGATGGGACACGGTGAGAGCTGGGGAGCAGACCTCGCTCTTGCTCGGTCCCAGCTCTGCAGCCCGCTACATGCGCGACGTCACACGGTGTGCGCGTGCCGTTCCGCAGCCTGTGGTGGCGTCTGAGTCGGACCTCGGAGCCGTGATTACGGTGCAGAAGGTCATTGCGGCCTCCGGCGACGGTGCCCCGGGCTGCGCGCTCTGTCGTGCGTCCTCATGCCACACACACACACACACCCCGTGCTGCGCGCTCTGTCGTGCGTCCTCATGCCACACACACACACACACACACACACACACACACACACACCTGTCCTCGGCTTCTGCTCCTGGCGTCGCGGCTCTCGCACAAGGTGAGCTTCTCAGTACCTTGCTCACCTGCCAGTGACCTCTGAATTCTGTTTTCACTCTTGGTGTGTTTTGGTGAATTCCCGACTGCATTATCTGCAGATCAACACTTTCCATGATGGAGATCTGACATACGCTGTGTCCGTATGTTATTCGGCAGCTCCCACGGAGCTGATGTCACAGTGTTGGAACAAATACAGCCAAGCCGATTCCTGTTACTTGCACTACGTTGTCAGACAGATTGCAACCCCCGGTGACCTGACACACACACGCACACACACGCACGCACACACACACACACACAAGCACTCCTGCATAAAACAAACCCAACTTCCCAGTAACCGTGAAGTGGCGAAATCCTCGCTTTGAGTTGGCAGCCGAGGCGGGGAAGGGACAGGCGTGCTCCCCGTGCCACCCATGAGACAGGACCCAGTTCTTGCTGGTGTAGAGGTCTCTCCATCACCCACAGCTGCCCCTCCTTACGTGACATGTTCCATTAGGGGCTGCCGTGTGTACGAGTGTTGTGCACGTCCTAACCAAGACACCGCTGTGTGAAAACATCTCCCCAAGGGAAACAATACGGAAACGATTCGTTGGGTTAGGAGTCTCTGCCGTGGCATCCCGACCACCCTGACCGCGTGCAGACCCTACAGTGTGGCTCGGGGACTGAAAGAGGGTGGCAGGAGTGGAGTGGGAAGTGCTTTGAAGGGGTGGATGGGAGCATGGAGGGTGAGGAGGGAGGAGTAGTTGGAGGTGTGGCCACACAGCTCACTGGGACGTGAAGCCTCAGGCCAGGGAGTGGACAAGGGCTCCGGGCAGTGTGAGCATCAAGGGCAGGAGGCATCTGGGGTGAGGTCGCGCCTGTGGTGACAGTGGCCCCGGCAGCTGGCCCCGTGGGAATTCTGGCCACCATGTTTAGGGATGGCGTCACCCGATGTTCTGCGCTGCGCTCAGGAGGCCCCTGACACCTCCTGTCCAAGGTCGAGACCAGTAGAGTTCTCTCTCGGGCACCAGGTTTGCTGACTTTGCACTACAAGCTCAGAGAGGCCGTTTGCCCCGCACGTAAGGACCCGGATCCCCCCCGACTGCTGTGGGCCAGGCCGTGGCGCTTATGTGACAATTCATACGGTACATACCTGCGTTGCTCTTGGGAAATGAGGAGGTATTACTCATGTTTTTTGTGGAAGGCAGACTCGCGTAATAACACAGAACAAACCGTTTTCAATTGTGCAAGTCAGTGGCACTTGGCACCCTGGCTATGTGTGGTTGCAGAGCCTGGCCATTAACTCCACAGGCACACGCCGCACCCGTGGAGCAGACACGCGCATCCCCAGCTCCCGGCTGCCCCCCCCGCCCCCCGCGTTGGCTGCGTCCGCGGACTTGCCGAGGGCACATGTCGGGTAAAAACGCAGTCCCACCGTCTGTGGCCTCAGGGGTCTGGATTCACCCATGGTATTGCTGATTGTGCCTAAAGACCCCGTCACCGTCGTAACTGGAACATGACTGCGTGCTGATTAGAACAGGTTTTTATTCCTGTCTTTGCTCACCTCCTAGTACAAGCCTTACCAATTCAACTTCCAAAACTTACCCCCCACCTGTTGGCCTCTCTGCACATCTGCTGTGGCCACAGCATTTTAATCTGCTGTCCTGGGTTCACCTGCACAAAGGCCTGATCTTCCGCTCCCGTGTTTGTGCGTCCACAGTCTCTTCTGCCCACGGCAGCCACACTGATGTTTAAGAACGTGCCTGAGCCCTGAACGTGGTTTCCTGGCGCCTCTCTGACCACGGTTCACAGCCCCCGGGCTCCCCGCCTCTCAGTGTTTCCATTTATCACTTAACGATTCATTGGTTGTTACGTCTAATGGGTCACATCTCCACCTAGTAGAGTGAGAACCCCTGCAAACAGGGAGCTTTCCTTCTGTCGGCGATGTCCCCCCTCCAGGACGGGACCAGGCACACAGCAGAACCTTAGGAGATGTTGCTTGAATAAATGTATAAATTAAGTGGGTGACTGTGGAGGAGAAAAAAGATCCAGGTTCCCCTGGATCACAGCATGTTATCCCTCACGCTTTCTGGGGCGCCGCTCTACTCATTCATCAGCAGATATGCTCCGGGCCCACTGATGTCCCGGCGGGAATGCAGGAAGCTCTCGAAACTCTTGGGCGGGGGGCTGGCGGGGGCAAGGCCTGGGTGGCTCAGTCTGTTAAACATCGGACTCTTGGTTTCGGCTCCGGTCGTGATCTCAGGGTCGTGGGATCGAGCCCCACATCGGGCTCTGCGCGCAGCAGGGAGTCTGCTTGAGATTCTGTCTCTACCTCTCCCCCCCCACCCCCGCTCACCTCTGTTCGAGTGTGCACACTCTCCATCTCTCTCTCAAATAAATCTTTAAAAAAACTCCACCAAAGCCATCAGCAATACGGTCCTAAGTAAATATAATGGAAGAACTCTTAAGTGTTGATTTTCAAACCACAAAACACTTTCACTAGGATGAAGTGCTGTCTCGTTAACACCCACCACACCTCAAATTCCATTCATACTGACTTTTTCAGTCTCCCTGGGAATGTAGGAAAAAAATGGGAAAATGAAAGTTTTTTTTTTTTTTTTTTAATAAATGAGTCTAGTCCACTGGGCAGGTTTAAGGATGTTTTATTACTGAATCAGTATGTACAAACTCTAACATGAAAATAATGAGTCACAGAATATCAGACTATTTACAGTACTTCGTTTTTACAAAATTTTTTTACAAGATTACTTCTAACATGACAGACACACACAAAAATCACTGTTTTATTACATACATAAATAAATATTGACTTGAAGTGACCAGAAGAGATGTGATCTCTATAGGCCATTGGGATGAGAAGGTAGCTGTTCTGTTATCTGCATACTACAGTATAATTAAGGAAAGAAAGAATAATTACATACAGACCTCTGTTAATTACTCTGTAAATTGTGTAACTTGCTAAAATACTCAGTAGAGGTAAGAAACGGAGTCTGGCCATGCACAACCATAGGTAACAGTCACCATCTTTATGCATTTATTATTTTAAATGAATTATAAGAACATGCAACAGATATTCAGCCTTTGTGTGCTGGTTACAATGTGAGGGTTTGTGTAACAAGATTGAGAGCTATTTGCAGTCCTGGGAACGAGTGAATGTAATTAGTAAATCCATGGCCCAAGGCGTAAGAAAGGGCACTAAATAAATAAGTCATTGTCACAAGTGATGCTGACCGACAGGAAGGAGAAAAATATCTGCACTCGGATGACAGAGACACACGTCAGAATTCAGTCTTCCCATCAGGTGTTTGAGTGACACAATGAAAGACACAATTCAGGGCTTTGCAGTCCAATTTCCCGGCTGTTGCTCGGCTCCTGCAGTTTCCCGGGTCCCGCAGACGAGGCAGATTCTCCCGTGTTTAGTAAAGATCACTCCCTCTCTGGTGCACGGATTCTCAACCAGGGGAGGCTTACTCCCCCAGGTGTGAGTGGGCAATGTGTGGAGGACTGTGGGCTGTCACAACTTGGGGGCACCGGCGTGTGGTGGGTGAGGCCAGGGCGGCTGCTGGGCTCCCTATGGTGCGCGGCTGGGGCACCCCTGCCAGCCACACAGACGTGGACAAAGCCCGCTCTGCGTGATTACTTAGAGGTTCGTTCAGGTTCCTAGCACGCAGACGTACCTTTACACTTGAACTTTGGGCTCAATTGGGAAAAGTATATATCACTGAATATATATTTTCTCCTATGAGAGACAATGCATCTGAGAGACAATTTTAATGAGACATATTAGAGACTTAGCCACTAAAACAATGTTTAAAGAAAAAAAACCCATAGATTGTATCGCTTTATTAGGGCACTCAAATTTTTTAAATTAAAAAAAGTAATTATATTTTGGCCGATTTGCATATTATTGAAGGTTGTTGAAATTCGTAAAAGAAAGTCCTGTTTCCTTAATCACCTAATTAACGGCATTTTTCTTCCAATGATGTGAATAAAATTTAAGTTTTGTTATTGCAGAATGAGATGCTCACAGGATCAGCTTTCGATTTTGTAAGGAAGGTGTAAGCTTCAGAACCTTCATCCAAACTAAAAATGTATTTGCTCATTGTCTATTGCCCAGACAAAAGACACATAACTAAACCTTATAAAATCAAACTTCTGTAATAATTTAATATTTCGTATCTATGTGTACACTCCTGCATTTTGAACTATACAACAGTATAAAAATTTGCTGGCACAAATACTGGATTTGTTTGTGACAAATTCAGGGTAAACTTGTAGCCAATATTAGACGTCTTCATTTGTGAAAATTTGAGAATTTGACATTCAGATGCAGCTCATGACACTGGTATAAATCCTAGTTTCCGCGGAGATATCTGTGGTGTTGGGTCAAGCTTGGGGCAGTTGGAAATGAGGGGTGCTTCTCCGGTCCTCTCCGTGAGAAACCAGGGGACCTCGGACCACATGGGGCTGAGTCCGTCCAGACTGCGTCAGGAGCCGCGGACAAGCATTTGGAAGCCCATGCACCCTCACGCTGGTCTTTCCCATGAGGGTCACTTGTACGAAGCTACAAAACATTGCCCGCATCATCATTGTAACTCTTTGCTACCCAGGAGACAGTTTTTACTGTTTCCACATATCCATGCGTACAGACCGCATTTCCTAAAGATACGCATCCATCTGATAATAAAAATACTCTGTCTCCATTTTGTGGCACGTTTGCCTTCAGACACTCGTGAAGTCAAGGCGTTCGAGCTGTCTCTGCATCTGCATGCTTCCAGAAACCCACAACACGGCAGGTACCCAGTGCCACCATCGTGACCCAAGAAAATGGTCCCAGATGTTTCCCCGATTGAGTTAGCTGCACAATGAGAGGAGGAAGCCGTTCCTTTAAGATGTTGAAATGCTGATAAATTGCTCTTTCCTCACAGAATAAACACCGACGGGAAAAATACATGACCCTTCCCTTTACAAGAACCGGATCTTTCCGCACCACTGGTGAGCCGTGAAGAGAATTTCCGCAGTGAGTCACACTCAAGGTGTGTGTGTGCGTGCGCACATACGTACATAGACACACAAACATAGATGCCTATTCCAAACCACATCCGTGGCTATTCCCTCAAGAAGAACTTGGATGAAACTGAATGTTTCTGGGTTGAAGGCTGCCCCAGTGCTCGGCAGCACCATGGACTGATGATGGGTTCTGACCCGAGTCCATGCTAGGAAGGGTCGTTTGGAGCCAACCAGTCCTACAGAATAGATTTGAAAGAATAAAGGCAAGCATATAGCTGTCCTCTATCCGTCAAAGCCTCTTGTCCGACGTTACCGAGAATATTCTAGCATTCAGATAGCTTACTTTAAGAAAAGGCAAATCTTAGTGATTGGAAAATACTCAGCAGTTGGGATTCTCACTTTAAGCAAGAGGCTCTGTAAATTTTGAGATACATGAAGTGGTAGAACAAAGTGTACCAACAGCTCTTTTCTGCATGGAGGGAAAAAGGAAAATATAAATAAGAAAACGTGTCGGGAAGGTCTCTCATTTTGTAGGATGAAGCATGAAAACGTATCCCCAGAAAAGCCTTTTCATTTCTCCGAGGCAGACTGTGGATAGCAGTGGATTCGCTGAATGCCCCCTGCTTTGGGAGCCTTTCGTAAAGCACACCTCACACACGCGATGCTCGTTTGCTTTCGTGTGAACGGGGCTCAGGGGCTGCAGGTGTGGACAGTCATAGATGGAACTTAATTGCTATATGTTTGAGGTTAAGAATAAATCACACATTATATAAATCATCTTACAAAAGATTTGAATACACAGGGCTTACAAACTGCATCACCTTATTTGATTTTGCAAATCAAAGCAATTATTTAGTTTAAAAATGTTTTATTGATATACGTTATACTTAGTATGTGTATGCACTGCGTATTTGTTACACTGATTTGTTCTGAGAATTTGCTGCTCCGAATCCAGGGAGATCTCGTCTGTGCAATCACTCAGTAGAGGTTCATTCGTGGATATTCCGATTTCGGGCTCGATGGGCCTCCATTCTGGGAAGTGGGTGCCCACCCCCACCAGCTGTGAGTCACTCCTTTCCAGCTGCATTGAGATGGGCAGAGGGACCCAGAGCACAAGGCTACACGGGAGAGGGAGGTCACGCAGGGCACCTGCTGGCTTCGTAGCAGCACGTCCGCACCGTGAAGCTCAACCAGCTTGCTCGTTCTTCGATTCTCAGACATTGAGCTGTTTAGTATCTTTCTGGAGAAGGCTTGTAATGATGAGGATGCCGAGGTTTAAGATGGGGTCCTGAGGGGGGGACAGGACATGGGGTATCAGTCATGTTGCCCTATGGGAAGCCGGGGACTGGTGGTGAAAGCATCAGACCCACAGAGCGCTCCCTCCTACATCTGCGTCTTTCCTGCTCTGAACCCCCCTCCCCTCTTTTCCCTCCTTAAGTCCATAGAACCACAGGAGGACTAGGGCAAGCTCCTTTCCTGGGGCATACAGTTCGAGAAGCAAGCCAAGGCCTTCCTCTCTCCTGGGAACGTAAACACTTCAGTACGCATACGAAACCCAGTTTCAAAGGAGGAGCATCAGGAAAGCATTGACCCGACCCCGATGAAGGTAGGGGCCGCTGCGCTCTCCCATCCCGAGCGCTGTCTAAATTCTAGGCATGAAAACTGATTGGGGCAAATGTGCTTCTACAATTGTAAAGGTAAAACCAGGATTACTTCTCCATTTTCTTATCAACACACAAACCTTTAGGCACTGCTTTATACGTGTAAGCTGGAAAAAGATGAAGCACATAATTTAAAAATCAGCAAGAGCCTGACTATTCAGAAACAGTGGGTGACATTTAAAAAAAAAAAAACTGCAGTAAATCCAGTAGATTGATTTGGGTCATGTTATGAAGCAAATTTATATAGTGTATTATAGCAAAATGTGTGTAATAAAATAATCCTTAGCAAACTACTTCCTATATCGTCATATTTGAAAATCTTAAATAATTTCAGACTGAGAGGAAGTTACAGATTTTTTTCCCCCTCGTAGGTATTTACGGTGTAAAAGACGCGGGGAAAGCATGGTACCAACGATGGGAAGGAGAGCGAGGCCGGCAGGGGGCATTTAAGCGGCCACCGCGCACTCATGCTGACACGGCTGGAATACAATCCGGTCCGCAGATACTCGCGGGGAGGACGAATTTCAGACCCAGAGAACCTGGGGCACAGGGATCGGTGAGAAACTTAAGTGTTTCACGCGGACTGCTGCCTGTGTGCCCCACACTCACTGTCCGCTGAGGGCAGCATGAGGTCGGGCGTCCAGAAGGTTTTGATGGTGGCCGGCCCTTCGCCTCCCGCGGTCAGCACCTGCACTTCCAGTCGGTACAGCGTGGACGGCCTCAGGTTGGGCACCGTGAGGACGTAATGGTCCTGGGAGAGCCACACAAAAGGAGATGCGCGTCAGTGACCTTTCAAAAAGAAAAGGCACAGGGGGCACGCGTCCTCTGAGCGGCTTCTCCCCGGCGGAGAGCAGGTGTGACTGCACGCGGAGAGCGGCAGGGGTGCGTGCGCGGCAGGCGCGAGCGCGCGGAGAGCGGCAGGGGTGCGTGTGCGGCAGGCGCGAGCGCGCGGAGAGCGGCAGGGGTGCGTGCGCGGCAGGCGGGAGCGCGCAGAGAGCGGCAGGGGTGCATACGGAGAGCGGCAGGGGTGCGTGTGCGGCAGAGGGGAGCATGGGAGAGCGGCAGGGGTGAGCGGAGAGCGACAGGGCTGCGTGCACGGCAAGCGTGAGCACACGGAGAGTGGCAGGGGTGCGTGCATGGCACGGGTGAGGCAGGGGTGCGTCCACAGGAGGCAAGAGCGCGCGGAGAGCGGCAGGGGTGCGTGCACAGCAGGGAGGAGTGCGCGGGGAGCAGTAGGGGTGCGTGTGCAGCGGGGGGCGGGGAGCATGGGAGCGCAGCAGGGGTGAGAGGAGCGCGACAGGGCGGCATGCACGGCAAGTGCTGAGCGCACGGAGAGCGGCAGGGGTGAGCGCAGGAGGGCAGCAGAAGCAGTGGCTGCCGGTACTCCGCGGGACCCCCTGCCGCGTCCTTCCCCCCTCCGCGCCCCGTCTGGGCAGGCCCAGACACTTGGCAGAGTAAGGCTGTGCCGAGGTGCCAGTTCTCAGGCTCACCCTTGGGATTTCATTTTTTACTCCCCAACCTAGGACTTTCCCATGGCTTAAAGTTTTCATCTGCACATCTTGTGATGTGAATTCTTGATCATCCCGATTTCAGTGACCGAGCCAACTGTCTCCCTTAAAACACAGTATCTGTCAATGCCCATAACTGAAAATGTTTATTTTTATGCCAACACATTCTTCTCAAAATTCAATAAAACCTAATACATTCATACTACTTTCTAATTCCAAGGAATTTTTCCTTCCGGACTTAAGGTTTTTTTCTTTCTTTCTCTCTTGCTTTCTTTTTAGAGCCAGGGTTGGATATCCCAAGGGCATTTTTAGAGAGGGTAAAAGCCCACACATGGGTTGTTTTTGTTTTTTTTGTTTTTTTTTTTGTTTTGTTTTTTCCCAAGCAAAGGAATTAAGTGGCCTGGAAGACAGGCCAACTCATTATGGGCTCTAGCCAAATTTGAATGGGGAAAAGGGAGAGAAACAACAAGCTTCTTTTAGCTATTTTCCCCCCAATTTAACACTTCAAACAGGGCACGTCCACTTGGACCAGAGGGACACGGGGTTAACAAACAAACTGTGAAATCACCTGCATGCAAGAAAGGACAGGGGCTGCTGGAGAATCAGGGTTTATCGAGCTGACCGTGTGCCCTGCTCAGAGCAGCGCTTGTGATGGGTCATTAATCCCTGCAAACTCCTACCTGGAGAAGGAGAAACTGCCCCAGGAAGGCCCAGTAGTTAGCAGGCAGCCTGGCGGGAGGGCCCCCCTCTGGCGGCAGGCGGCTGTGTGCATCGCACACGGCCGCGGGCACAGAGGAGCTGAGCCGGCACCTACCGAAGGCAGAATCTGGGAGCGAGAGATGATGCTGTTGGGTAAACTGTTCTGTCTGCTCTCGGTCGTGACCTCAGCCCAGGTCACTTGAAAGCCCGTCATGGGCTGGTAGAGGTTGGCCTTGGCCATCTTCCAGGAGAAGTGGGCCGTGATGTTCACATCTTGGACGACGAACGAGGCAGAGAGGTTCTCGGGCTTGGCGAGCACCTTGACCGGCATGTGACCTGGAGCCAGGCAGACAGAAGCACCTGCTGAGGCTGCTGGGCAAGGAGTGGAAATGGGGCCTGTCTGCACGCATCGTGGGTACTCCGGGCGGCCACTGGGGGGTAGTGGGGGGAGGCACAGGCAGGCTGAGCTCGGTCTCCACACACGGCTCCCGGAAACCACCTCTTTGCCCTACGGGGACGGTCAGTGAGCAGTGAGCCAGAGTCTCTCTTGTCCCTGCAACTTGTTGCTGGGCGCTCTGGGGATTCTTTTCAGGACGCTGCTTTGGGGGTGGAAGACGGAGAGGGAATTCTGCAACGTGGCAAGACCCAGCGGCTGCTCCAAGAGCAGACATGACTGCCACGCCAAGGGCAGACAGTGAAGTGATCGGCCGTCCCGCTCAGTCACTCGGAGGAGCTCAGGGGGCCGCGCCGACCAAGCCCTGGGTGGTCGTCCCGCTGCCCGACAGAGGCCTCGGCCAGGAGGGCGATGGGTGCGGACATGAGGTCTGCGGCACTGTTGTGCGAAGTGCATGAAGGTAGCTCGCATGGCAAAGGGCCGGGGTAAAAATGAAAGGAGGTGCAGAGAGTGTGCCGAAGCACGAGCGGTGTATAAGCCTTTGCTTCGTTTCCCAGGGGGTAACGCTGTGAGCAGAGGGGCCCGTTCCCAAGCGGTAACGCCTACAGCCGCACGCACATCACCGCCCCAACCGCGCCATCGGACTGCGGTTTAGAAGGAGGACTACTTTAAGCTTCTCCGGCCTCGCGAAGTCCGGTTTGGACACGTTTTCAACGTGTCGCCAACACCCTAGACGCGCACTTGGAAGCTGGGGTGAACGTACCTGCCTCGCCCGGGCAGCTCACGTGCTTGTAGCTTTTCCCCTTCAGGGCCGAGCACGGAGGCGTCGTAAAGAAAACGGTCTCTGCCTTCAGGCGGCCCGCGGGCCGGGCCGGCTGGACGGTCACCTTGTATTTGCAGGAAAACGATAGATCTTGAAGAATTATATAATTGTCCTGGAGCAAGAGAAAGAATAAGCTAGCAGTAAGTCTCATTAGGGATAAAAAAAAAGATTGGCAGGACCTCGGGCCACAAGGGTATTTTCCTATATGTCCAGTGTGTGCAATATGGCTTTTATAAAAAGCACAAAGGAGACACGGTGCATGTTGTGAGCAGTGACCACATCGTGAGCCTCCCCCTCCCCCCGCGCTTCCGGATGCCGGCCGCACAGGTGCTGCCCAACTGTAAGCACAAATCTGTTTTTAAAACACAAGAGAAAAGGGAACTCGGGCTTCTCTGAGACACGGGCTTAGTAGCCCCTGTGTAAGTTTCCCTTTGGAAAAATGACAGTGCTCGGCAATATATTCTTTCCCCTTCTTGGAGGGCTGTTCTTGCTTCGTGCCACACCGGGTGTGGTCACACACCGCGGGCGGAAGGAGGAAGAGGCTGAGAGCAGAACTGCGTGCTAACATGGCGCCATGAATTTGGGGCTGTCCTAAGTGTGCAACTCTGTTTCCTTTACATCTGCCTGCTCTGCTTCTCCAGCCTGGCCGGTGCGTGTCAGAGCCTGATGCCCTCGTGTAAAGGGTGCAGAAGGGACCTCTGTCCAGGGCGGTCTGGGTGCAGGATGGGGTCCCCGCCAGACAGCAGCGTGCGTGAGGTGGGAAGCACAGGCCGAGGAGAGCGGTACAAGTACAAGCTCAGGCTCCGCCCATCCTGCCAGTCGCTGGAGTCGGCAGTGGGGGATGGGGGGCGGGGGGATGCGCATGGTGGGGGGGGGGACGCACACCGCAGGAGGTACCCGGGCTGGGGGAGGGTGCGCACCGGGCTGGAGGGGAAATGCGCATGGAGGATGCGCACCCGGGAGCCACCGGCCCTCTCCCCAGAGGTCACAGGCAGGCAGACAGAAGCAGGGCACCGTGCACACCAGGGAGTGAGCAGGGAGCCTCGCAGGCCTGCTGTGTCCCCTTGGGTGGCTTGAAATGCTTCTCTGCAGGGGGGAATGTACGCTTTACACGGGAACACACTGCAAGCCCACGTGAGCCACCAAGGACACCTCTTGGCAGCTCTTTCAAGAACGCTTTCATGTGGCGTGGAACAAAGACATCTGTAGCGAGAGGTGAGTTAGCTGATGCTCCATCCTAACTTCAAAATAAGTGGGTCTAAAAGCTGTTTACAAATGCAAATAGGCTAGGTCCAAGCCCTTAGCAGAGTGGTTTTTGATTCTTATTTCTACCGGACACATTATACAGGTTCAGCTTCTTCTTACCTTCAGAGTTTGCAGAGATGAGAAGTCAAGGGTTGGCTGGGCCCCTGAAAATAAGGCTGATTTCCTACCATTGCAAGGCATGCCTAAGTAAAACCACTAAAAGCCTCACCCCTGCCCACAAAAAAATTTAATAAACCTGCTTCTGTTCATTTCTTTCTCTGATTTTCAAGTAGGTTTCCCTTTTTAAAAATGCTTCTTTTTCTTTCTTTTTCTTTACTGAAGGCCCCCAACTTTGGAGGCAGCTTAGGGAAAAATAAAAGGAACAGCGTTGGCGAGCATGCGTTGGGACAAGTCAAAGCCAGTAAAAAACTATTTCTGCAGACCCACTGACTTGTTTTATCTTACTATCTTAAAGTTAAGTGATCACATAGGATTCTAAAAATGCTGTACTTGTTGCTTTAGGAAATATTCAAAAGAAAAATGTTCTCCTTACAGATCACAGATCAGCACATTAGACAGCTGGGGCCATGCCTTTGGGTGTTTTAAAGTGTGCTGCTATATTATAGACATGTCACTGGCATCACCGCCGTGGACAGGTCACCACCGTCTTAACCATTCTTTGTTGCCACCACTCTGTAATTCACTCATTCGGCCTGTTTGGAAGAACGCGTGGAGGAGGGGACTGCCAGAGTTCCTACCCCCCAGGAGTTAATGTTCTTTCAGAATCAACAAGAAAGTGTCGGTGCCGTGAGTCGGGTAAGGAGTCGTAGCATGCACTGCACGAGGAGCTGCTAGTCAGGGACATGGCAAAGCAAGGCACTAAAGGATCGCCAGGGGCGTATAGAAGTCGGCAGAGGAAACATTACGTCGTGGTGCCAAGATTCCGAAAATAATGCAAACCTGTCGTCCAGTTAAGATGAGACACACAGCAACTCGGAAGCATTTCTGACCTGGGAGTTGCCTACGAAGCACGTCTTTCATCTCTGCGTTCTGTGAGCTGCGTCGTGCGGACAAGGGACCGAGCTCCCAGGGAAGGTTGTGAGCGGAGGAAGGAACGAGTGAGCCGAAGGAGCATTCTGCTTTCCCAGGTATGTTGTTACTACTCAGCAGCCAGAGGGGGGGAGCGAGCTCTGGGTGGGTCGTACACCTGGCCCACCTTCCCGTGTGTCTTATGCGCGGGCCCAGTGGAGCCCGGGAGCAGCGAGACGCAGGCGGTGTGACGGCCGCCGCTCACCTGGGTGATGCCGGACGAGGTCTCGGCGCCGCTGCTTCTGTTGTGGGCACAGACCTCCGGGAGCCACCGCACGTGGTATCGGCTGACGCTGGGATCTGAAAGGTCAGAGAGAGCACAGGCTGGGGCCACAATGCACCTGGGCCGCTGCTCTGGGGGCGGGAGGGGGCGCACTGCAGTTCCACGGGTGACAGGACGAAGGACGCAGGCCGGGCTGCAGGACCCTGGGCATCGTCAGGAGGACATTCTAGGAGAGAACCGGGTACGGTGCAAGAAAGTGCAGGAAAGTCACGGTAGAACGCCCGCAACGAGGTGTTGAGGGGAACCTCGTTCCTGGTTCTGGGCCGAGCGCGCCCCGACAGGAGAGGGTGGCGCTTGGCCAGGGAGTGTCCGTTCCCGCAACGGGGAGTCCTCACTGCAAGTGTGAGTCCTACAGTTTGCGGCGAAAGCTGAGAGAGCGTGCAACCCGTGCAAAATCGACAGCCTGTCCTCAGGCCGGGATGCACTCCCTTGTGCAGGGGAGCGTTCCTGCCGCACGAGGCCCGGAGCAGCCCCTGCCCTGGCGCCGAGGCCGCGTGTGTGATCCCCCCGAACCCTGACTTGCTGGGGAGCTCAGGCCAAAACGCTGACCCTGCAAGCCTGTCCTTCCCGGGCCGGGCAGCATATTCCCTGCACAGCGCTGGACTCTGGGCCATCCCTCAGATAAACGAGGAGGAGCACCTCGCCGAGTGTGGGAAGGGGGGGGGGGTCTGGCCAGTGTCAGGTTCATTCACCGACCCGCGCGTCCAAGGGTGTGACAGGGCGCCACTCTGACACTAACATCTCATCCCCCGTGTTCCCACCAAGTGCTGGATGGAGCTTTGCTGACGGGAAGACGCTTTGATTCCATGGGTGGTTCTGGCGGGAACTTGCTTTGAGCACTTTGGAATGAGAAAAGAAGTTTGAATCCGAGAGGATGAGCGGTTATCAAGCAGGCCCCCTCGGTGTTTACTTAAAAGGGGAACCCCTTCCTGGAGGCTTTAAGATTTACACAGCAGGCATCGGGAAGGAAATGTACGTTATACGCAAGTATGAGGCCACTGAATGAATCCATCTGCTTGCATTCAAGTGGTGCTCTTCCCGGCATATAACAGAGTAACCACGCAGAAACAGCTGTTCCCGGGGATCTTAAAAACTAACAGGGCTATAGAAACAAGAAACAATGTACATAAGCAGGGTCTGCGGTAGGCTAGAAGGTAATTTGGCTACAGATTAATACGGAACGTAAGGGGGCAGGTGTATTGCCAAAGGTTACAATTGTGCAACAGTGGCTGGCTCTGAAGATCCTTCTTTTTTTTTAATATTTTTATTTATTTATTTGAGAAAGAGAGAGCACAAGCGGGGGTGGGGAGGTAGAAGTAGAGGGAGAGGGAGAAGCAGATTCCCCATTGAGCGGGGCTCCATCCCAGGACCCTGAGATCATGGCCTGAGCCACAGGCAGACGCTTGACCAACTGAGCCCCTGGTTGTCTCCAGGCAACCCCCGGAGATCTAACTTTCAAGCGAAGACGGGGATGACGCCTGGAGGTTGGCGTGGACAGAGTAGATGGCCGTGGGCAGTGTAGATGGCCATGGACAGTGTAAATGGC